CGAAGGCATCCGACAGCTCCCAGAGGCTCCCAGAACGACCTGGCCGAGGAGGATCGACTGGGGATCAGGATGTCTTGTCTCTGGAGGGTGCGGCGGCGTGCGGAGCAGGGGGGCGGGGGCGAGGAGGAGGAGGCGCTCGGTGTTCCTGGCTCCCACGCCCCCATGACCTCGTCGCCGTCCCCATCCTCCGCTGGTCCTCCCCCGTCCCCGCTATCTTCAACTGGCCATCGCTCGGACGTCCATTTTCTGTGCTTTTTTCGGTTTCGTGCGTGGTTTCTTCGCGAAACGATCAAGGATGCTCCTCGATGGTCCTCGCCGGAGGAAAAATGCACACGTCCGAGCGACGGCAAGTCAAAAGACTCTGCCCCGCCGCACCCCGAAAGACGTGCTGGCAGGGCGGGGGCCGGCCGCTGCTCCCGGGGCGTCCCCTCACCACGGGAGGGCCCCGGAGCGCAGCACGCGCAGCAGCTCCACGGGTGGGGGGGCGGGCCGTTCTCGGCACGCGGCTCGCTCGCCTCGGCGCCGCGCGCCAAGCGTTGGGTCGGGCCCGTCCCCCTGCGGGGGGGGGGTGGAGCGAAGAATGAAACATGCTCCAAAAATGCGGCCCGGATGCTCAAAAACGGTCCCCAAAACAGCCCTCACATGGGGATGCGGAGCGAAGAAGTGAACACACTCCAAGAAAAATGCCCCCGATGCTCAAGAATCGTCGAAAAGCAAGAGTCCCCGGACTGCTCCTGGGCCGTGTCCGAAGGTCCCTCCTGCAGAGGGGCACGCCCGACGGGAGCCCGGCTCCGAAGAGTCGGCGACAGCTCCACGGGTGGAGGGCGGGCCGCTCTCGAGGCGTGGCTCCCATGGCCCCGTGGCGCCGCGCCCATGCGGCCTTACAAGTCTGCAACCGCTTGACGGCTGGGGGGGCGGGCCGTTTCCAGAGTGCGGCCGTCGCCTCCGCGGCGCCGCACCATCGTCTCAGCATGTTGCGGGAGCTTCACCCATGGGGGGCGGTTCCTGATCGGAATGTGTTTTTTCGCGTGAGCGCCGCGCACATCCGTCTCAAAAGTTCCTCACAATCTCAGGGACTATGACGGCTGACGCCCCAGAAACTGTGTTTTGGACCGACTTAAACTTGTCAGGGCGCAACAGACAACGAAGATTCGCGGAGCAAATGTCTCAGGACCGTCGGGACGAGGAAGTAACGTTGATTCGTGGCGTTGGAATCCAAGGAATGATGTTTTCGCACAGTTGATAATTATCCGGCCGTTGTCTAACAACGGTGCACATCTCGCAGTAAAAGTATAATACTGCAGGGACCCATGAAGAGAGAACTTGGAGGAGAGGGTTTATAGCAACATAGTTGACGCGTCTTGGGTTTACGTTGGTCCTCCAACTCCTCTATCTCCTCCTCCCCATCCTGCACAATGCCTCCTCGTCCCACTTCTGGCCATCCTCCTCTCCCCCTCCTCCACCGACTACTCATCCGATCCCCCTCTCTACCTCCCCCCTCCTCCCCCCACCCCTCCTCCCCCCCCCCTCCTCCCCCTCCCAATCCTTGTATGGGGCCTATGAAGAGGGAGCTTGGAGACAGGGTGTATTGCAACATCGTTGATGAGTCTTGGGTTTGCACTGGTCATCCTCCTCCTCGTCCTCGTCCTCGTCCTTCTTCTCCTCGCCCTCCTCCTGTTTGCAACAGTTTCAAAGATGAAGGGCTGTTTGATGTTTTGCACCAGCTCCAAGGATACAGGGCGGCTCTTTTCAAAATGTGTCTATCGCTTTAGCGCCGTGCACATGTCTTTGGAAAGTGTGCAGCTGTTTCACGGATGAAGGTAGTTTTGTTTCATCATGTGGTTTTCGCGTTAGTGCCGCGCACAGTCGTTTGGAAAGCTTGCAACAGTTTCAAGCATTGACATGGTCGATATCCCAGGAATGGTGTCCTGGCAAGGTTGAGGATTGTCAGGATGTCCCAATCACTTGATTCGCGGCGTTGAAGTCCCAGGAATGGTACTCTGACACGATTAGGGACGCCAGGATGCAACAGCCACGTTGATTCGCAACGCTGCTGTCCAAAGATTTGTGTCTTGGCACAAATAAGGATTCTCAAACGGTTATCCAACAATGGGGCATGTCCCACAATGGAAATATATGTTCGCTGGGTCCAATGAAGAAGGGACTTGGAGGCTCCAGGGAGGGTTTACACAGGTCCTCCTCCTCCTCCTCCCCCTCCTCCTCCTCCTCCTCCTCCTGCCCCGCTCTGACCCCGCTCTTCATCACCACCTCCCCAACATCCCATTCCTCCCCCCTCCTCCATAAAGAGAAGCTACATAAACACAAGCTTTCGAGGCCCCGACAATGTTTAACATGCTGGTTTTGATATTCGACCCTCAACATCCCACCCGTTCTCTTCCCCATCCCCCTCCCCAGCCGCGGACGAGGAGGACGAGGGGAAAGAGAGAACGACGAGGGGAGCACGCCAGCGAGAGGGACGCCCCGTTTCCCGCTCGATCCACCCGCCGCCCGCCGCACGACGACGACGACGACGACGACGACGACGACCACGACGACGACGACGACGACGACGACCACGACGACGACGAGGCCGACGACGACGCTGACGACGCCACCGCCGCTGGCGGTGGCGGCGGCCGCAGCGACGACGACGACAACGATGACGACGACGCCGGCGACGACGGCGGCGTTGGCTTTGGCGGCGGCGGCGGCGGCGGCGACGGCGCTGACGACGACGACGACGACGACGACCACGACGACGACGACGACGACGACGACGACGACGACGACGTCGGCGCCGAGGACGGCGGCCTGCGCCGAAGGCGGCGGCCGCGGCGGCTGCCCTGAGGGGCGCCGCGCGCTCTCGGCGGATCACGCGCGCCGGTCTGCCGAGCCGAGCGCGGGCGCGCGCTCACGCCGCGCAGCGCGAGGGCAGCGCTTCGGAGGCCGGCCGGCTGCAGCGAATGCGCGTCCGCGCGCCCGCGGGTCGCGTGGCCGCCGCGGGGGCGAGGGTGCGAGGCGGGGGATTTATCCTTATCCCCCGCCTGGGAACCGACGTCCCGGTGCACTGGCGGGCGGCGGACCTGGATATGTTTTGGCCACCGGAGGCCCGAATATACCCCTATATACCGCCTGTGGAGGTCCAAGAAGATCGATCCCCCAGGCGGTGGTTATGGACAAATTCCCGCCTCGGAGAGGGGGAGCGTGCGTCGGAGACTCCGAAGCGCGCGGGTTGCAAAGGGTGCGGCTTGCAGCCCGCGCCTTAGGGGGGGAGGCGGACGGGGGCCTCGGCGCAGCTCCCCGCCGCGCCCGGGCGAGGGCTCGGCACACGCTTCTGGCGCAGCGTGGTGGCCCGGGAGCCCCAACGGCGCCGATCGCAGGCCCCACCACGCCACGGCGCAACCACACCATGGCTTGTAGTGGCCGAGTGAAGGAGCAAGCCTTCATCCCCTGAGATCCGGGCGCTGCATCTGCTTCACGCCAGGCGTTGCCGCCCCGCTTCGGGCCCTGGGGCCCTTCCAAATATCGATCTTAGGGGCCTCCCAGATGGGGTCGGAGTAGATGGGGTCGGAGGATCGCGCCGCATCGGCCCAAGAAATCCACGCGGAGCTCCGACAGTGCATGTTAATGTCGTTCTGTCGTCTTCGACCCTAGGCTCTCTAGCTCGTTTGTCGAAAGGTGGAGAGAAGATGGGCTGTAGAGGGGAAGGAAACGGGGACCATGACCAAGACTGAACGTGGAAACGTTGTACCGATCCTGGTCAACGTCGATCTTGGTCAGCGTCAATTCGTGGATCATCCTCGCGAATCGGCATCGGCAAAATCCCGCGACATCTTGGTCATGATCCTTGTGATTCTTGCCTCGAAGCTGGAAGATCTGAACTACATTTGACCCCAGAAAATCGGCCGGGAGGGGGGACGAGGCCAAATCCGCCAGAAGTCGGTCCCCAGATCCCTCCCGGGGTTCATCTAGAGCAGTTACCACCCCGATTCCGTTCCTGAAAACGGCCCCTGGAGGCTGAAAAAAAGACTGCCCCTCTTCCTGCTGGACGGAATCAGTACTGGGCCACCTCAGACCCCCAGCGGGCCCCAAGAAAAAACACCTGGTGGCCAGGCCCTCGCGGTGGCCAGACGACCGCGGGCTCTCGTTGAGCAGCTTCGACAAGATCTCGCGGACCCTGGCGGAGCGCTCCCTGTCCAGCCCGGCGAGGCAGCCGATGGCGTCCAATATCGGCCAGGCGCTGAAAGGAGGCCAATTCTCCGACGATCTCTTTTCTGTTGAATCCGTGCGATTTTCCCTGATCTTGGCCTCCGGGGCCCGTCAGCGTGCCCGAGTGGCCATCTGACATGGATCCGGGACGAAAACCTACCCCCAGGGAAGCAATCGGAACCCCTGGGGCGCAGACTGACAAAAACATAGCGGAGGGTGCCTGTGCCCCTGGCCCGAGGTCCCCCCAGCCTGCAGACCAGCCTGAGGCCCCGACTGGGCCCCGACTGGGCCCCGACCGGGGGGCCACGTGGGGCCACCAGGGCCTCCCTGACAGCCCTGGGCAAAGGAACAAGCGCTGCATGAGTGGAACCTGCTGGAACTCCGCGCGGGTTTCCTGGATCGGCGCCGGGTCCCTCCCTGCAGGTGGCTCTAGCGCCGGCCGAAGAAATCCGCGCGGAACTCCGAAAGCACATGTTCAAATGTGCCGTTCTGCCTTCCGCGATGGCAGCCCTGGGGGCACCTTGGGCCAGGGCCACCCGGATGGATGCACGCAAGAGTGGCACTAGGAGAGAGTGGCATTCGGTGCGCGGCTCTGGGGGGCGTGCAGGTGGGTGGGTGGGGTGCGGGGGGGGGGGGGGGGGCAAACGCAAGCTCGCAAGCCGATGCTGTCGCTCTACACTCAGCGATCGGGGGGCCCGAATGGGCCAGCACCGAAGGTCACTCAGGCGAGAGGTCACTCCTCCGTGTGGTCGAGCCACTCCCGTCAGCTCCTGCGAATCGGCCTGAGGCGCCTCGCTCGCCGGCTCGTCATCGTGCGCGAGCAGAAGAACTCCACCGGCGGGTCGGCGGGGTAGCCGCGCGCGGCGCGCTGCTCGGGCGTGAGGAACCGCACCCCGTTGAGGTGGCAGATGAGCGGCCGGCGCTCGGGGGGGATGGGGTGGGAGACGCAGTGGTCCGCCCTCCGTGCCTGGACGATGCGGGCGTGTTAGAGTAGAGGGCAGAGTCCCACCAGCCCAAGGGGCGAGTGGTTTCGAGCGTTTCCTCTTCCAACCCCCCTCCTTCCCCTTCGGGGGAGGGTTTATTACTATCCCCTAATGATAAACACCCCCTCCCCCAGGCGACCAGCAGCCAACCCGGACCTATGAGAAAACCTCCTCGGCATCCCTTGAGTTTGAATACATATATATATATATACAGGCATACATACATACATACATACATACATACATACATACATACATACATGCATGCATGCATGCATGCATGCATGCATGCATGCATACCTACATGCATACATACATACATACATACATACATACATACATACATACATACATACAGACATACAGACAGACAGACAGGTATACATGCATGCATGCATGCCTACCTACCTACCTACCTACCTACCTACCTACATACATGCATACATACATGCATGCATGCATGCATACATACATACATACATACATGCTAACATAACATAACACCATATAGCATAGCATAGCATATCATGGCATAACATAGCATGCCATAGCATAACATAACATAACATGACATAACATACATACCCACACACACATGCAACGTGCAACTTGCCTTTAAATTTGGAGGCGCCCCGCGCCCCGCGACCACTGCGGGGGTGCCGCATATGGCTTGCCGCGCGAAGGCCAACCATCTCTGGCAAAATATCATACAAAAGACACCTTGGCTCCAAGTCTGAAGCATGCGCAGGGCCCTCTTTTCTCTGAGCTCCCATCTGTTTCACGACTCCTCAAGATGTCACAGTTTGTCCATCGGTGTCTGTGCTTTGCGCTCCCTGGAGCAGCCGTCCTTCTCACAGAATGCTCGGCACTTCGCTTCAGAGGTTTTCAAGATCCTGAACTCCTTGGGGCCAGGGCCCCAGGCACCTGGGGACCCTACTGGCGTCCCGTAGCTGGCGCACCTGGCGCGGCTGGAGCACGTGGCACAATTGGCGCAGGTGGAGAATGTGCCGCACCTGGCACGCTTGGGCCTCCAGGTTGCCTGGTGCACACCAGGAAACCGTGGCGCGCATCACGTGTGTGGCGTTCCTGGACGATCTGCTGACACTCGTGTGTTACTCATGTGTTGGGAGGGCGGGTGGGAGTTAGCTAGACGGCCTGCTACCTAGGAGGGTAGCTTGATCCCTCCCCCTACCCCCTCCCACTAGAACTGGAGGGGGGCGGCGAGGCGTTGAAGCGTCCAAGATGGCCCCGGCGAGAAGGCCAAAACGCCCAGGGCCGTGTAGTAAGCACCAGTAATGAGGTCGGCGTGGTTTTCCCTCCCTTGATAGAATGCCCTCAGATCTGGGCGTTGCAAGTCTTTGCGCAGTGGACAAGGGAAGACTGGGCGATCGGGAGTCGATGCTTCCCCCTCGATGCTTACCCCCTCGAGCATCCTGAGGAGAGGCCGAGAGGAGGAGGAGGAGGAGCAGGAGGAGGAGGAGGAGAAGGACCACTGCACCGACCTTGCAGACGCACTCCAGCGGATTTTTGTTCGGATTTCGGTCAATGCAAAAACCGAGAAGGCGAGCGAAAAATAAAGTGAATTTCACGTGGATGTGTTGTAGTCTTCATTCCAGGCCAAAAAATCCGCGCGACTCATCGAAATCCAGAACGAAATTCTCCAGGACACTCCGGGCCCATCCTATTGTTTTTCGTGCGAAATCCGCTCTGCCATGTTGGCGCAATGAGAAGGAGGAGGAGGAGGAGGAGGAGGAGAAGGGGCCCCGGGACCCTCACGGATCGATGCGGCCCGAAAACATGCCACAGCAAGATGGGGAATAGGGCTCCCGTCGCTCTCAGGGCCACCAGAACCAGGACATTGCTAACCAGGGATTTGATAATCCCACCTGGAGATAATGAATCCCCCCATTCCTAACCAGTGAGTTGACAATCCCCACTAGTTGTATGTTTTGCGGCGCTTCTCAGTCGGGCGCTATAATTTCTGCTTCGCAATCGCATTGTGCTCTCGGTTTCAGCGTCACGGTCGTGATGCGCGCCTTTTTTCCGCCGCGCGCTATCGCAACCCGGAGGTAGGCACACCGCCCAGCACGGGTCCAATAGTGACCCAGATGCTTTGGCCAACGCGTCTGACAGATGCACGGCCTCTGATCTGACCAGAGAATGAAGCCTGGAGAGTGCTTCGACCCACGTCTGCAGCCTTCTCGGGCGCGCCAGCGTCCTGCTTCATCAGTCCCCCGTTCCAGAGGGGGCCCCGACAGGCACAGGGCGGGGGACGCAGTGGTCCGCCTCCGCAGGTCTCCGACGATGTGATTCGTTCGATCTGGGATTTGTGCCTCGCTTTTGGCCTCCGGGGCCCGTTATGGGAGGCACAAAGACACACTAGTACTAATGGCGCGTCCGACCCGAACATATAACCCCATGCCCCCGATAATAAACCCTAAGGGATAATAAGTTCGGGGTTTTCGGGGGGATAATAAAAGTTGCCCGCCAGAGCCAGCATAAAGAGATATCAATAGGAAAAAGCCAAAGATATCAAAAGCCAAAGATATCTTGAGGATCCTTGGTCTTTGGTCCTCTATGAGACATCCTCAACAATGATTTGTCTCGGTTGAGACATCCTCCACGACATCCCTGTGGACTTTTCTACATCCCTATAGATGTCTATATGAATACTAATAGATGTCCATCGACTCCTTTGGGTTTCTTTAGATTCCTATGGATTCCTCATAGACCTCTATGAGTTTATTATTAGTTGTTATAGAAATGAATTGACGCTTGCGTCGGCCCCATTAACGAGTTCCATGGATAGTAAACTCCCGCGATAAACGAGTTCAGGGGGCAGGGGGAGGAGAAGAAAGATAGAGAGATAAATAGAAAGATACAAAGAGAAGAGGAGGTAGAGGAGGAAGAGGAGGAGGAGGAGGAGAAACAGCAAGAGGAGGAGAGTAGAAGGAGATAGCAAAAATCCAAAGTTCAAAACTTATTATATTACATTTGTAAGCGCTGAATGAAACAAAAAAATCATCTGATCGTGTAGGGTAGCTCATATGCCTCGGTTTCCTTGGATAATAAAGCACAGCGATAAACAAGTTCAGGGGCCACGGGGAGGAAGAGAAAGAAACATTGATCATTTCGTTTGAGCCTGCATCCCGAAATTATTGGTTTCGCTTGAGACATCCTGAAAAAACGTGTTCGCTTCGCTTGATGTTGTTATCTCAACATGAGAAGGAAGTAACCTCGATGGCGAACTTTCCGAGTGATAATGAAGTTCGGCCTCCGCGCCCCCGCGCCCCCGACCAAACTCTTATTGGTCGACGATAAAAAACTCTAACGACTTAAAGGGGGGGGTACATTATTATCGTGGGCATGGGGGTAGTATACCCAACTTGTAGAATATCGTTTCTCGAGCGGTGTGGCCAGAAAGCGCCCGTCACGACGCGTATACTAGAAGACTTTTCGGTGCGCGCGTCGCACTGGGGGGGTGGGGGACGCACATATAGTATAAGTATGTTGGGGTGAGGCCGACGTTATCTGACCCCGGGACCATCAAGAGTGGACCCGGGACGAAAAACGGTCCCTAGGAAGAGGGTCGGGAGCCCCGTAGCCGCGGACGAAAAAAAAAGTCTGATCAGCGGGGGGTCTGCCCCTGCAACGTATGGGCATAGAATGCCAACCGCTATCTGGCAAGGCTTCTGAAAGACTTCGGAGGAATAGATATATGTATATTATATATATATATATATATTGGAGGCCTGGAAACGGGCACCAACACCAACACAGGGGATTGCCCCTGATCCTAGATTTCGGTGTTGGTGGTAATATTTCGGCCACCTTGGAAGCCAGAATATTACCACCATCACCGAGATCGGGATCGTCTTCCCTCGGTTGAGGCACACCACCGATATTGGTGTTGGTGTCAACCACTAGGCCTGCGAATATAAACCAAACTTTCGGATCTCTGCGCGGATTTCTCGGATCGGCGCCGGCCCCTCCTGAAGGCGGCTCCGGCACCGCCCCTGGCGCGCTCCGGCACGGCCTCTGGCGCGCCGATCCAAGAAATCCGTGCAGAGCTCAACACCTGTTGATGTTGATGCGTTGTTTCTTCTTCGACAGGTGCTGTCTGGTAGGGCTTCTGGAAAATCTATGAAGGGCGATCCTCCGACATCATCATTCTCACCCGGCATCCATCCATCCATCCATCCATCTATCGATCCTCCTCCTTCTCCGCCTCACCATCACCCCTTTTCCTCCCCCTCCTCTTCTTCCTCCTCCTCCTCCTTCTCCTCCTCCTTCGCCTCCTCCTCCTCCTCCTCCTCCTCCTCCTCCTCCTCCTCCTCCTCCCCCTCCTCCTCCTCCTCCTCCTCCTCCTCCCCCTCCTCCTGCTCCTCCTCCTCCGCCTCCTCCTCCTTCTCCTCCTGCTAGGGCTCGCACCCACTCGCATGCACTAGCGCCACAACTTCCCTGGAGACGCTCCAGCCCCTGGCGCGGCGGCGGAAGCTGTGCCATAGGCGCCTCTGGATACGTGCCGTACCTCGCGTGGGCCGCTAGCCCGGTGGCCATGATGTCGTTGCGCTGGCGCACGCCAAACGTCTCCTCCACAAAGTTGCCGGGGGTATTTCGAGGAAGAAACCGACGGCGTAGACATAAACTGTCAAAGCTCCGCGCGGATGTCTGGGATCTGGGCCGGGCCCACCCACCCGCGGCGCGCGGAGCGCGCCAGGGGCGGCGCCCGACACGCCGCCCAGTCTCAGGGTACGGGCGCACATCCGAGAAATCTGCACGGACCCTCGAAAGTTGTTGTTCATGCTGTGATTCCTTCTCCGGGTATACACCTGGCCAGGTCCAAAAACGAGGCTGTTGTAGTGGCCGACCGACGTTATGTGGGTGCTGTCGTACCAAAAGACCACAGGCACCAGCTGCAGCCCACCGTGCTCCTCCACCGCCACCTTCACCCCGTGGTGCTGCCACGCGATGGCCTCGTAGTGGAGATTCGTCAGCAAGGGCATGCCGACATACTTCACACAATTGCTCTCGTCTTCCAGCACGTCCAAGACCCGCCCCAGACCAAAGTCAAGAGTGAATTCCAGATCGTGCTGGTGCACCAGAACATACGGCGTTTCCACATATCTCAGGCCAGCTTGGAGGGCCAAGGCCTGACCGTTCCGGCCGTCCATGTGGACCAACCTTGTGCCTCGCGGCAGTGCGCCCGAGTCCAGCAGCCCCTCGAGATTGCACAGGTACTCCTCGTATCGCGCCGCAGCATCTTCGGTAACCCTGCCAGCCTTCCAGGTGCTCTTCGCGCAGAGGTTGAAGCCGTCGCACACGATCACCAGCGGGCACTCTGCGAGCCCGGCCACGCGGCCGAAGCTGCCCAGCACTGCCTCAAGCATCATGGCTAGAGGAACAAAAAATGGCATACACATAAACTTCTGGAGGTCCGCGCAAATTTCTTGGATCGACAGTGGACCCCCCTGCCTGGAGCGCGGAGCGCGCCAGGGGCGGCGCCAGAGGCGCCGCCAGGGGAGCCCAGCGCCGATCCAGGAAATCCGCGCGGAGTGCCGAAAGTGTATGTTTATACAGTTTTTCTTCTTCGAATGGTGGACGGGTTGCTCGGCACCGGGCTCGTGGTGACCAGGACGCTCATCCTGTGCCCAGAGGCGGCGGAGGCCGCCCGCGAGACCACCTGCTTGACCCTGGGCCCCGCGGGCCTCTCCGCCTCGGCGGCCTTCGCCGGCGCCAGCGCGCAGTCCTTCGCCAGGTGGCTCGCCTCGCCGCAGAAGAAGCAGCGCTTCTCAGGGGCTCTGGCACCCCCCTCGGCCGCGGCCTCCCCGTCCGCGGGCGAAGCGCTGAGCTCTGGGCACTCCGTCTGCACGTGGCCCGTGCCCCCGCAGCGCCAGCACTTCGTCTGGCCGCCGCCCCGCCTCCCCATCGGGAGAAGCGCGGGTCGGGTGCCGGCTGGAGCGGGCTCCCTGGCTCTCCTCCTCCTCCTCCTCCTCCTCCTCCTCCTCCTCCTCCTCCTCCTCCTCCTCCTCCTCCTCCTCCGCCTCCGCCTCCGCCTCCGCCTCCGCCTCCGCCTCCGCCTCGACCTCCACCTCCACCTCCGCCTCCGCCTCCGCTTCCGCCTCCGCCTACGCCTCCGCCTCCTCCTCCTCCACTTGTTCCTCTGAGTCTTGATATGAATGTCAGTTTGTTTGTTATTATGGTTCATCTACTTTTTTCTGATTGGTCTGATTATTAATATGCTTATTATCAGAGCTCATCATATTCGGGTTGTTCGTATTACTAGTATTCGCATTAGTTGTCTTAGTGTTCGTAGTATCAGTATTGTTACCAGCATTCTCGGCATCAGTAGTATTAGTACGGATCGTCTAAGTATTATTAGTCGTATTAGTCGATGTCTCATTCGTCTTAGTATGATTACTAGTGTTACCAATAATATTAGTAGTAGTGTTATTCGTCACTTTTATATTATTAGTCGTAGTATGTTTCTTCCAACCCTTGTTATTGTGTTTCGTATTACTGCTCTGCTCAGTATTATTGCGAATTCGCATTACCTGTCTTATCAAGCTTCACATTATGCTGTTCCTTCTTAATACTATCAGTGTTGCTATGATCGCTACTATTTCGATTCGCATTCTTACTATTATCATGACCACTCTTATTCTCATGACTAGCATGATTCGTCTGGTTGGTATTCTTATAACTCGTATTATTATTACTACTATCCGTCTCCTTCTCCTCATCCTCGTCCTCCTCCTCCTCCTCCTCCACCTCCTCATCCTGCTCCTGCTCCTCCTCCTCATCATCCTCCTCCTTCTCCTCCTCCTCCTCCCACTCCCCCTCTCCCGTTTTCTCCCCCTCCTGCTTCTCCATCTCTCTCCTTTCAAAACTACTCCCTCCAGTCCACCCCGACGCCGGTCGGAAGGGCGGGCCAGACGTTCCGCTTGAGACTTCCTCACCATGTACGATCCTGAAGCTTACACTTTGCAACAGTTTCACGTATGGAGGGCGGGTGATTTTCAACATGTGGCTCTTGCCGTAGCGCCGCGCACATTCGTGCTTAAGGTGCGCAAGGAGCTTCACAGATGGAGGGCGGTTCCATTTCAAAACATGGTTCGCGCCTCAGCGCCGCGCGCATTCGTCTTCAGAGATTACAACCATTTCAAGGATTCTCATGGCCAACGTCCCAGAAATTGCGTTTTGACACGATGTCGGAATGTCAGGGCGCAACAATCACATTGATTCGCTGTGTTGAATGAAGTTCCAGGAGTGGTGTTCTGGCACGATTCAGGATCGTCAAAACGCGACTGTAACGGTGATCCACCGCGTTGATATCCCAGGAACGGTGTGTTGCACAGTTCAAGATGTTCCAGCGGTTGTATTCCAACGGTGCACTTCCCTTAATGAAAACGAACCCTTATAAGGGCGTGCGAAAGGAAACTTGGAGGGAGGGCCTATTGCTAAATCGTTGATGAGTCTTGGGTTTAAATTGGTCCTATTTCTCCTCATCCTCCTCCTCCTCTTCCTCCTCCAACTCCAACTCCAACTCCAACTCCAAGTCCTCCTCATCTTCCTCCTCCTCCTCCTCGTCCTCCTCCTCCTCTTCCTCCTCCTCCTCGTCCTCCTCCTCCTCCTCCTCCCGGTCCTACGCGGCAGCAGCCGGGGGGCCTCGAGCCAAAACGGCTACAGTGGCAGCGCGGGGCATACGCCACGTGCGCGCCCAGCGGCACGACGGATCGGCCATGCGGGGTCGACGTTCCATCCTTGAACCTCCTCCAACGCGACACGGCCAACGCCCTGCTGACTACCTACCTACCAGACCACCCCAACCCACCCCGAAAACCCGAATTTCGGGTTGGGGGGGGTACGGGCTCCATACGTGTTTTTTCAATGTTCCCGAACCACCCCCCATGGGAAATGGAGGGTAAATTGAAGCCTTGGGTTGGGTTGGGGTGCTTTGGTGGGTGGTGACCTGCCGCAGGCAGCTCGAGTCCGCGGCCCCCTTATCAGGATACGATTGGGGCCAGAGAGAATTTCCAGAGCATCTCGCGGCCATTTTCTGCAGCCTGTGCGCACCGTTCGGAAACGTGGGAGATCGCGGGGGAAGGGGAACTCTTGATACGTATCATTATCACTGCCTCGCGCTCCTCGGACTTACGGTTTTCAGCTGCGCCCGGGTTTACGAGGGCGCCCGACGGGACGGAGACGCCCGTGCAGGGGCCGATGGGCCCCGAGCCCCTCCTTCACAATTACTCAATATGAATACTACTCTCCCTCTTCCCCTGATGACGGTTTGAAAGTGGCCGACCCCCCCCCGCGTACTGTTTTTTACACACAGGTTTCCCCGGAGTTGGGTTTTCGCCTGCATTTTTTTCAAAATGCTGCTCTCGCTGAGGCGCCGGCCTCATTTTCGGGCCCCGCTCGTTCCGAATCGTGCTCCCGCTGAAGCGCTGGCCTCATTTCCGTGCTTCCGCTCGTTCCGAATCGTGCTCCCACTGCAGCGCTGGCCTCATTTCCTCGCTTCCGCTCGTTTCGACTCGTGCTCCCGCTGCAGCGCTGGCGTCATTTCCCGTGCCATGCCACGGCATGCAATGCAATGCCAGGTTGATACTACGCTTTGCGGTGCTCTTCTACGCCATGCCATGCCGTGCTCTACAATGCATCGCGTACCCTTTCGGGATCATTGCCCTGGTCGACATCCGACTGAGCGAGTAGAGAGGGGATTTGCGCCATGGTAAGGGATGGGAGGGAGGCGTAGGATGTCAGATATGACGCGAGCGCACCTAGCTTGTCCTCCTCCTCCTCCTCCTCCTCCTCCTCCTCCTCCTCCTCCTCCTCCTCCTCTTTCTCCTGGAGTCTCCTCCTCCTCCTCCTCTTCTTCCACCTCCCTCCTCCTCCTCCTCCTCCTCCTCCTCCTCCTCCTCCTCCTTCTCCTCATCGTCATCATCGTCATCATCATCATCATCATCATCATCATCATCATCACCACCACCACCACCACCACCACCACCACCATCATCATCATCATCATCATCATCATCATCATCATCATCATCATCATCACGAGCCATCAGCATTCATCATCAGCATCATCATCACATCATCATCATCATCATCATCATCATCAACATCCCCAACCGACCACCATCCGACCACCACCACCACACCACGACCACCACCACATCATCATCGTCATCATCATCATCATCATCACCACACCACCACCAACCATCATCATCATCATCATCTATCATCATCCATCATCATTATCATCAGCATCATCAGCATCAGCATCAGCATCAGCATCATCACATCATCATCATCATCATCACCACCACCAACCACAACCACCACCACCACCACCACCACCAACCATCACTATCAACATCATCAATCATCATGCATCACCACCACCAACCACCACACCACCATCATCATCATCATCATCATCATCAACATCATCAGCATCAGCATCAGCATCAGCATCATCATCATCATCATCATCATCATCATCACCACCACCACCACCACAACCACCACCACCACCACCATCATCATCATCATCATCATCATCACCACCACCACCACCACCATCATCATCATCAGCATCATCATCATCAGCAGCAGCATCCTCCTCCTCCTCATCATCATCAGCATCAGCATCATCATCAGCATCATCCTCATCCTCATCCTCATCATCATCATCAACAGCAGCACATCATCATCAGCAGCAGCAGCATTATCATCAGCATCAGCATCAGCATCAGAATCATCGTCATCGTCATCGTCATCATCATCATCATCATCATCATCATCATCATCATCATCATCATCATCATCATCATCGTCATCGTCATCATCATCACCAGCAGCATCAGCATCAGCATCAGCATCAACATCATCATCATCATCATCGTCATCGTCATCGTCATCATCATCATCATCACCATCACCATTACCATCACCATCATCATTATCAGCATCAGCATCATCATCATCATCATCATCATCATCATCATCATCATCATCATCATCATCATCATCCGCCTCGTACTCACCCCGCCTTCTCATCCTCCCTGCTTGTCCTCCCCGTCTGGGACCCCGCCGAAAAATAACCCTCTGGTTTGCCCCTCCTCGTCGCCAAAGGTCTACGGAAAGAAATACCGGGGCGAAGCGAGCTTCCCGGTTTCGGTGCCAATTCCAGGCTTCGCGGTTGCAGGGTCGGCCAGGTCTCGCCTCGGCTGCTGGGCTCTTGGTTTGGCGGCGAGTCCCTATCGGCTCTGGGTTTGGCGGCGAGTCCCCGCTTCGCCTCTCCACCCCGCCACCCCAGGAGGCGGAGGAGGAGGAGGAGTGGGTGGGGAAGAGGAAGGGTGGGGGAGGCGGATGAGGGAGGAGGAGGGAGGGGAAGGATGAGGAGGAGCAGGAGGAGGAGGAGGCAGAGGAGAAGCAGGAGGAGGGGGAGCAGGGGGGGGTGAGGAGGAGGAGGAGGAGAAGGAGAAGCAGGAGGAGGAGAAGCAGGAGGAGGAGGAGGAGGAGGAGGAGCTCTCAAGGGCGGCCTAACCGACCCCTAACAAACCGTTCCCTTCCGTCCCCTCGCCTCGCCCCAAGCCCCACAAGACGTACGTATGCGGCCAGAGGGGAAATTTGAAAGGCGAGGGTGACGTTACGGAAGGGGATGGTCAGCTAGGGGTCGGTTAGGCCGCGCCCGACGCGCCCGACTCTGCACCCCACCACTCCACTCCACCCTCCCTCCCCTGAGATCTGACGCCTCGAATAATGGAACCGTCATGGAAAATCACGACTGGAGCCCTAGACCCAAGCTTTCTGCGTCGTTCTTCGAGCCCGATCGGTCTGTGAGGGTCCAAGGGCCCGACATTGGGCGAAAACGCCTGGCTCAACAAGTTGAATCGCTAGGATCTCAGGGTCTGCTGCGCGTGCACGGCTCTGCAGGGGCCCTGGGACACACAAATAGGTACACACAAATAAAATGATTCCCCATATTTCCCTACATTTTCTGGGGTTTTGTCTCCCCCCCCCATCCCCATATTTCCCCATATTGTGTATGCGTGCTTTTTTCCCTCTTGAGGCTCGCGGGCCGAAGGGCGCCACCGCCGCGCGATGCGCCCCGGCGGGGGGCACGCCCGCACGGCCGCACGGGCGCGCCCGCCGCGAGGGCCGCGGCGGGCCCGGCGGCGGCGGCCACCGCGCGGCCGGACTGGGCCAAGGGCAGCGCCGCGGGCTACAGTCGGAACGAGGTCCCTTTTTCTCATGAAGTTAAACTTCGATTCCCCATGGGAAACATCAGGAAAACCCAAGGCAAACTGTGAAGCAATCGAGGAACACCGAGCCCCTCCCCAACGAAAAGGGTTCCTTCTTCAGCGCCCCGACTGCAGAGCCCGAGATCCGGCGCTGCAGTTCTGCTCACGCTGGGCGCGGTTGCATGGCCTCGGGCCCGAGGTCGGGGATCTACTGACCTGGGTCAGCCCACACCCGGGTCAGTCGAGCTGTTCTTGTGCCAACCATCCTGTGGTGCTGGGTCCTCGTTTTGAAGGGGCAGCGCCCCGCGAAACTCCTCCTCTCCTCCCCCTCCTCCCTCCTCCCTCCCCTCCCCCTCCCTCCTCCCGTCGCCCCCACACCCCTCACACGTTTCGTGGCCCCACAGGGAGCTCCACCGAAGGCCCAAGTGCCACCGCCCGCACGCGTCACGCACACCCATTTTGGCGCACCCCTCACACGTTGGACCCACAAGGAGCTCCACCGAAGGCCCCAGTGCCACCGCCCGCATGCGTCACGCACACCCATTTCGGCGCACCTCTCACACGTTTCGTGGCCCCACAGGGAGCTCCACCGAAGGCCACAGTGCCACCGCCCGTATTCGCCACGCACACCCATTTTGACACACCCCTCACACGTTTCGTGGCCCCACAGGGAGCTCCACCGAAGGCCCCAGTGCCACCGTCCGCATGCGTCGCGCACACCCATTTCGGCACATCCCTCACACGTTCCGTGGCCCCACAGGGAGCTCCACCGAAGGCCCCAGTGCCACCGCCCGCATGCGTCACGCACACCCATTTCGGCACACCGCTCGCACGTTCCGTGGCCCCACACGGAGCTCCACCGAAGGCCCCAATGCCACCGCCCGCATGCTTCACGCACACCCAGTTCGGCGCACCCCTCACACGTTTCGTGGCCCCACACGGAGCTCCACCGAAGGCCCCAGTGCCACCGCCCGCATGCGTCCCCCGTCCCCATTTCGGCACACCCCTCACACGTTCCGTGGCCCCACGGAGAGCTCCACCGAAGGCCCCAGTGCCACCGCCCGCATGCGTCACGCACACCCATTTCGGCGCACTCCTCACACGTTTCGTGGCCCCACAGGGAGCTCCACCGAAGGCCCCAGTGCCACCGCCCGCATGCGTCACGCACACCCATTTCGGCGCACTCCTCACACGTTTCGTGGCCCCACAGGGAGCTCCACCGAAGGCTTCAGTGCCAACACACACCCATTTCGGGACACCCCTCATACGTTTCGTGACCCCGCAGCGAGCTCCACCGAAGGCCCCAGTGCCACCGCCCGCACGCGTCACGCACACCCATTTTGACACACCCCTCACACGCTTCGCAACCCCATAGGGAGCTCCACCATAGGCACCAATGCCACCGCCCGCATGCGTCACCCACGCCCATTCCGGCACACCCCTCACAAGTTTCCACCGACGGCCCCAGTGGCTGCTTTCGCATGCGCCCACCAAACAAATTTTGGTACACCCCTCACACGTTTCGTGGCCCTATAGGGAGCTCCTCTGAATGCGGTGCATACAACGACGGTACTCACAACTGCATATGGTTGGGTCCTTCGCCAGGCTAGTCTTTTGGGGGGGGACAGGAAATGGAGCAGGCACAGCAACACGGTGACAAACTCAGCAACACAATCGTAAAGGACTAAACTGCCTCAACTGCGGGGTCAGTCAGGCTTTGCAAGATCCTGCAAGATCCTGCGGAATCCTGCAGGATCCTGCACCCAAGCCCGGGTCAGTGCACACCTGGCTCTGCAGGATCCTGCAAGATCCGGCGCTCTGACTGACCACGTTGGCATCGACCCCCGTCTCTGAAGCCCCGGCCAAGACCATCACAGGTCGGTCCGGCTCGAGAAGTGCCGCAGCGAGGTGGGGCCTGGGGCTCCAGTCGTGCGTTTGCGTGGTGTCGCAGCGTGTTCGCAGCGCCAAATCTCAGGGAAGGGCAGCGCCGCGGGCCGGAGCGGCGGGAACCACGACGGCAGTAGAGAGGGGCGAGGAGAGTCAGAGACCTCCTGAATGGGGTCGGAGTAGATGGGGTCGGAGGATCGCGCCGCATCGCCGATGCATCGGCGATGCATCGTCGATGCATTGGCAATGCACCAGCGACGTCGGCGATGCATCGGCGCCGTCGGCGTGGATAAAATCGGGCTACACATCTTCAAACCAAGCACGTTATTGTAGCAACCGTTGGCAAATACATGTGGAAATAAGAGTAACGCGTCGAACCTCCTATTCCACCCCACACACCAAACTATTGCTGGTTCTCGTCTTCGATTCGGTGGTACCGTCGTGAGCTTTGCCGTTTGGTTTGGTGGTGAGATATATCAGTCGCAATGACGTGGGACGTGCGTAGTGTCTGCTCTAGCGGGACGGCAATAGTCGATGATGCACATCCGTACAGAAGTAGTCGTAGGAGCCACTGTGCCACAGAAAAACTGAAACCAAGAACTGGTAGTGCCATTTCTGCAGCCGAGACACCAGACATCATCCTGAAATCTGTAGTGACCTCATGTCACTTCCAGGTCCCTGGATTGAAGACTGTGTTCCTGTCAGGGACCAGAGCCCGTCGTCCTGAAACGCATGAGCGCTGTGTTTTCTTGGGTAGTGCCTTTCCTCGAGGCCCTGGAACGTGGGTGGGCCATGCTACCCACGTGTCCTGAGGTGGCCTCGAGGGACCATCCTGGGGCTCTCGTGGGGGCCTCTTGGGCCGCCTTGGAGGCGATGGGGGCCAGCCCAGGAGGCACAAATCGCTGAAAAACATGAGTTGTTGTGTAAGCTTTGTGCCCTAGCCGTTTCGGTCTTGCGAGCGTTCAAGACGGCTTACGAGGTCCCCAAGCCGAGGCCGAAGAGTGCTCCGGAGGACCTCAGGAGGAGCCGAAGACGCCACCCAGAGGCCTCCAAGAGGCCCAAAAAGAAGGGCCCAGGAGCGGGGTCCCCGAAGGAAGTTTTGAAGCCCAAACCACGAAAAGGCCCCCTAGACCCTAGACCGCCTCCAGCCCCCACAAGGGCCCCCAAGAGGACCCCATCTTGCCATGGCTCGGACGTCCATTCCACGTGCATGTTTCGATCAAGAGGCCTCCGAACGCCCCGCAAGAGGCCACCAAGAGAGCCCTCCCGAGATGCCGCAAGAGGCCCCCCGTCCAAGATATGCAAGCAATGTGCTGACTAGATTGCCAGAATTTCTACAAAGGTGCTTCGATGCGGCCAACACATCCTGGCTACACGTCGGTCGGAAGAAGTAGATAAAAACGTGAAGCAGGAAGGCGGATAAAGCAGAATGGGCTCAGGCCCTCCCAGAGAATAACAAAACACGGCAAAGGCAGATCGGTTCTTGAAGCAGGAAGCGCTTGAAGCAGATTGGAATCTGTGAGTCCAAAAATACCTACTTTCAACCACCGACGGGTACATCGGAGACCACTCACAGAGAGAGTGGAAATGTCGATCCTTGCCCGCAGAAGAGATCTGCATCTGAAGCCGACAGAAAATATATGACAATCCCACCTCGCAGACGGAATCGGTGTGCAAATCCTCTGTGACAAGCTCACTCGAAACAACTTGATGTGAGGAGCCTTCCAGACATAAATAGTCGAAGCATAAATCATGTCAGATAGAAGGGATCGAATTGTAAAACCGACCCGCAGCAATTCTGTGTGAAAAGCCTCCCTCACATGGAAAGACGGCATTCCAATCACATACTGCAGAAGGGATGCAGATGTACAGCCGACACGCACAATTATCAGTTTTGACATGCAAAATGATCAGTGTTGATTGCCTTGAAAATCTGTCAACGGTTCGCTGGTTCAAATCAAACTCGCGTACAGAAATAATCGATGTGTAAATGCCCTCCTACAAAGGCCTAGACAGAAGGCCATCCTTCAGCTATGGATCGATGTACAAATGCGCGCCCGCAAGAAAGACCTCTTAGTAAAGCCCACGCAGAAGGATTTCAATTGAAAGTAATTCGTCACCGAAGGGAGCAAACTGCATAAATCCGATCTCACCGAGATGTCTGAATGTGCAAATCTGTCGTACAATGAATACGTGCAAAACTCACACAGAAGGATTACGAGTGGAATATCCCCATCACACACAGAAGCGGTTGCAAATCCTTCTCACCGAAGAACTGTTCGCAGGGGTGGACCCGAAACGGTAAGGTGTTGCACCGTGGATGTGTAAGGTATGTGGTGCAAGCTACGTGGCGTAAGCTACATGGTGCTATACATTTATATATAGCAAAAAAACTACCTACCGACCTACCTATCTACCTACCTACCGACCGACCTACCAACCGACTTACCTACCTGCATACCAACATGCATACCTACCTACTTACGTACATGCATGAGGGTGGTACAAGCTGTGTGCAAGCTGTGTGGCGCAAACCATGTATGGGAAGCGGCTTGTGTACGTCATTACATGCGGGCGTATGGTATGCGGTGCAAGCTCCGTGGTGTGAGCCCCGTGGTGTAAGCAGTGCTGTGCAACAAAAGCGTGCTGTTGAGCCATGCGATATGAGCTGTGTGGTGCAAGCCAATGCAGTGCAGGCTAATGCAGTGCAGCCCATGCGGTGCAGGTTACGCGGTCGCCCAGCGCACGAGGCGCTCACGAAGCGCCCACGGGGCGACACGGGCGGGCACCAAGAGAAACCTCGGCTGACACATCCGGTCCCTTCGCCAACCTAAGTAAGAACCCCCAAGTGCAACTATTGTTCGGAGAATATGTGCGAAGAAAATACTTGGCATGGTCCGAACTCCCACTTGCCTCGTCCAGTATTATGCTGCATCATCCTCCTCAGTCTCCTCCTCCTCCTCCTCCTCCTCCTCCTCCTCCTCCTCCTCCTCCTCCTCCTCCCCCTTAGGCCCCCCACATCCCATGAGACGGAGGAGGAGAAAAAGGAGGGGGCTGCCAGGAGCGTCAGGCGCAGACCGCGTGCTGCCCCGCCCGCCGCAGGAAGCACCCCTCGCACACGTCGTAGCGGCAGGCCCGGCAGCCCCAGACGGGCGCCTTCTGCCGCACCCGCACCACCGCCTGGCAACCGGCGACGACGACGACGACGACGACGACGACGACGCCGGGCGCCGCCGCCGCCCAGCAGCGGCGGAGGCGGCGATGCGGGTAGGTGGCCACATGCGACCCCTACCCCTACCCCCCACGATGTTTGAGGGGGAGGGTGGGGTTCACTTACTTCGAGAGCTCCCGAGCGAAGTGAACCCCACCCTCCCCCTCAAAAATCGTGGGGGGTAGGGGCAGGGCTCGCATGTGGCCACCTAGCGGGGAATCCCCAGGGGCCCACGTCGCGGAAAAGTTGCAGCGTCACGAAAGATTACGGCCGCAGCCCCAGGCACAGCTTGTGCTGCGGCCCTCTCCAGAACGATGCGTGGGGGCCCCCAGGGGCTCCGAAACCGGGCGACAACGCCGGGCGTCAAAAAGTCGCAACGCCTGGATCTCAGGGGACGGCGGCGGCGGGCGGCGATGGGGTGAGCTGGCGACGACGACTCGCAAAGGGCCGATCGGACGCCCGAGAGCGTCACGCCCCACTAATGGGGACGGAGGGCCCTGCTATGAGGAGCAGCGCAGACGGCGAAGGCGAAACAGACGACGCAATACTAGGGACGACTGGAGGAGGGACGACTGGAGGGACGAAAAGGTACTGATACCCCTGCTCCCCGGACCTCTCCTGGGGTGCATTCTGACCCGAATTTTGAAGCGAATCCAGCCGTGGCGACGAGAGCCTCCCGGGAGGCCCAAGAAGGCGCAGACGAGGCAAGGGTCGGGAACGGCGAGAAGGTACGGTCCAAGAGGGGTGATTTCGACGGCCGCTGGGGCGCCTCAGGTCGAGCTGGGGGGCCTCAGGTCGGGCTGGGGGGGACCCAGGTCTAGCGAAACCAACATTGTCCAACGAACCTTTCTGGCAGCCTCCGGAAGGGAAGCGACACCGATGTGCACCCTCAATGTACCAGCGACGCCAGAGATGCATCGGCGACGCAAAGCTTGGAAAGCATCGGAATCCACGTCGAAACGCATCGCCGATGCTTCGACGACCCAGACCCCCGTCGTCATGATTGGTACATAGCGTCGATCCCCAAAGGTCTCGACCCATTCCCCTGGAACCGGTTTTCATCATCAGTCGTCTTTTGACGGCCCCGAGGCTCAGTAAGGGCCCCCAAAGGCCGAAAATAGCGAAAAATCATCCGTCGAGAGTTCTGCATGACTCGAGGGGGTGTGGGGATGCAGCGCGATCCTTTGACCCCATCCACTCCGACCCCACCTGGGAGGCCCAGACCGCCTCTGAGATCCGACGACCCAGAGAAATTGCAACATCGTGAAAAGATCACGGACGGAGCCTCAGACCCAAGCTCTCTGCGTCGTTCTTCGAGCCCGATGGATCTGGGATCTGAAAGTCCCGGGGCCCGACACGGGGCGAAAGCGCCCGGCTCGAAAAAAATCGAGCCGCTGGGATCTCCGGGGAGAGCCGGACCCACGGCGCGCCTGGCAGCTCCGGCACCGCGCCCGGCTCCACAGCCCGCTCGCCGGCGCCGCGCGCTCGACGAGCAGGTGGCCCCTCGGGCAGCAGCGCCCCGGCGGCGGCTCGGGAGCGCCAGGGGCGCCGGCGCAGCGCTGGCACTCGTCGTGGTCGCAGGCGCGGCAGCCCCACATTGGCGGCGCCCTCCACCCCTACGACCACCTCTACGGGCTACACGCAAGAGTGACCCGAGGCAATAATGACCTCTGGTGCGCGGCGCAACGGGGGACGCGGGGTGGCCAAACCCAGGCGCGCAAGCCGTTGCTTCCGCCTCGCGTTCGGCGATGGGGGGACTCCCTCGGGCCCGCACCAAAGGTCACCCCGGCGAAAGGTCATCCCCACGATTCATCTACTCTAGACGACCCTGAGATCCAGGCGATGCCATGTTTTCACACCGAGCGTGTTTGCCCGACTTCGGGCCCGCACCTGAGGTCACTCCGGCGAAAGGTCATCCCCACGATTCATCTACTCTGGACGACCCCGAGATCCAGGCGATGCCATGTTTCCACACCGAGCATTGTTGCCCGACTTCGGGCCCCGGGGCCTGTACGGATCGATCCGACTGGACAAAGGACGCAAAAAAACACTGAGCCTATCCCCCGTCGTGGCTTTTTCCACGAGGTTGCAAGTGCGTCGCAGCTTCGGCTGTCAAGGCAGCGCGCTCCGCTGCTCTTGGCGCGCAGAGGGGGCAGGTGGCAGCTGCCTGTCGCCGCAGGCGCCGAATGTGAGCCAGACCCACATCGCAGAGCGGGCGGAGGGCCCGGGAAGAGGCACGCCGCGCCTTGACCCCCCCCAATTCGACTCCCGGATTGGAGAGTCTAACCAGGTTTAGCATCCTCCGCGGCTGGTGGCTCGTTCTGCATAGGGACTGGCTCGCGGGTCTGTGGCCAGAGTCTATCCTCGTCCTGGCTTCGCCTTAGTGTTAGCCAGGGGCCTCGAGGCCAGCCGCACGGCATGCTCCAGGTGCGCCCCGCGCTCCATCTGACTCGTCGAGGTGGCTGAGAATGGCAACGCCCCTCGTCGCGCGCCCTCGGCGGTCATGCAGCGAAAGACTGCCCCTGGAGTCGGGCGTGGGCCGTGGGCCGCCCCGCAGCGCCGATGATCTTGGGATCTCTGGGCGAGACGAGGTTTACTGGATGCTGCAGCGCCCACTCCGTGGCAAGCGCCTCTGTGTGGAATGCCGACTCAGCTTGGCGTAACAGCGAACCCCGCCGCGCTGAAGCTTTATGCTTGCAGCTACGGTTAAGTCGGGCATGTCCCCCTACAGGCGGTTTCTTGAACGAACAAACAAAAAACATTTCAAAAAATACTCCCAAATGGTCAAGAATAGTTAAAATCGCCCCCTCACCATTTTGGGGCTATCTTTGAATATCCCTCCTGCAGAAGGACGTGCCCGATTGAACAATAGAACCATTCGCATGGCCACTGCGATCGCCCCGAGTTGAGGCCACTGCGATCGCCGCGGCGACCTCCAAAACCGACCAGGACGCTCGCGTCGGGTCCGGATGTCACGCAGCGAGGGGGCTCCTGCTGCTGGAGTCCTCCCCGACGTTTTCGGCCGTGCGCCGAATGCCCATCGGCCTTGTGCGACTTTCGGCGTTGTCTTCGGCGGACTTCTGACGGCCTTCGACGTTGTCTTGGGCGGCCTTCTGACGGTCTTCGGCGTTGTCTTGGGCGGCCTTCGGACGGTCTTCGCCGGTCTTCGGTGGCCTTCCGGCGGCCTTCTGATGGTCTTCGGCGGCCTTCTGGCTGTCTTTGGCGGTCTTTTGGCGGTCTTCGGACGGTCTTCGGACCTTTGACGTGCATGGCGCTCTCTCTCTCTCTTGGACGGTCTTCGGCGGTCTTCGGCGGCCCTATGATGGTCTTCGGTGGTCTTCGGCGGTCTCTGGCGGTCTTCGGACGGTCTTTGGCGGTCTTCGGTGCTCTTTGGCAGCTTGCGGCTGCCAGGAGGCCTCTCCGCCCCAGACCACCCCAAAGCCTGGCGTTGCGACTTTTTCGCAAAGGGCATTTTCGCCCAGTCTCGGGCCCCGGGACCATCACAAATCGATCCGGCTCGGGAGACGTCGCCGAAAGGAAGGGTCTCGGGCTCCAGTCGTGACCTTTCACGATTCATTGCATGTGCTTCGCAATGTCGGATCTCAGAGTCCTCTCGTTTTGAAAGAAGGCACGACGGGCGGTTTGGGGATGATCTTCGGCCTCTGGTGAAAAATACGGTATCGGAGGTCTGGGAGATCGGGTTCGAGTAGATGGGGTCGGAGGTTCGCGCCGCGTCGGTCGGCGTTCGGCGCAGTCGGCGTGGAGAAAAAGTGGGGCCCTCATCAAGCCGCATCGACGATGCATCGGCGACCTCATCTACTCGGAACCTACTTGGGAAACCTGGACTGGAGCCGTACAGTCGGGGCCAGCCCAGGAGGACGCAGGGTGAGGGGGGTGAAAAATATGAAGGAGCGCGCTCGAGGCACACCTCTCTAAACAAACAAACTGTGGCCCCAGCTTGAAGCTACCGCTCTCCCTTGGAAAGGGGGGGGGGCTTCCGAAGCTCCCCCTCCCTTCCTTCTTCGGGCAATTCTGGGGCTAGGAGGGCCCCAGCTCAAGAGGGGGTGCTTCCAAGCTGCACCCCCTCCCTTCTTTTCCTGAGCCCACTGGCCAGCCCTTCCTTCTTCGGGCAATTTTGGGGCTAGGAGGGCCCCAGCTCAAGAGGGGGTGCTTCCAAGCTGCACCCCCCCCCCTTCTCCTGAGCCCAATGGCCAGCCTGGGCTCCCAAGGTCAGCCCCGGCTCCCCTTTCAAAGGCCTTCGGCGCATCCTTGGTTTTCGGTGCCCTTTTTGACTCCGGCGCCCCTTCGGTTTTCGGCGCCCCTTCGGTTTTGGGCGCCCCTTCGGTTTTCGGCGCCCCTTTGGTTTTCGGCGCCCTTTTTGTTTTCGGCGCCCCGTCCGTCTTCGGACTTTTTCTGTACGCCGCCACTTTCGTTTTCGGCGCCCCTTTGGCTATCGACGCTCCTTTGGTTTTTCGGCGGCCTTTTTGTTTTTGGCGCTCCTTTTGGTTTTCGGGGCCCCCTCGGGTGTTCGGCGCCTCTTTGGTGTTCGCCGCCCTCTTGGTTTTCGGCGCCCTTTTAGTTTTCGGCGCCCTTTTTGGTGTTCGGCGACATTCTTGTTTCCAGCGCATCTTTGGTTTTCGGCGCCCTTTGTTTTTGCTCGGCGCTTTTCTGGTTTTCGTCCTCCTTTTGGTTTTCGGCGCCCCTGGTTTTCGGCGCCCCTTTGGATTGCGGCGCCCTTTCGGTTTGCGGCGCTTCTTTGGTTCTCGGCGCCCTTGTGGTTTTCGGCGCCCCCTTGGTGTTCGGCATTCCTTTGGTTTTCGGCGCCCTTTCAATGTTCGGTGCCTTTTTGATGTTCGCCGCCCCTTTAGTTTTCGACACCGTTTACATGTTTGGTGCAATTGTGGTGTTTGTCGACACTTTGGTTGTAGGCGCCTTCTTGGTGTTCGACGCTCCTTTTAGTTTTCGGCGTCATTTTGAAGTTCAGCGGCCCTTTGGGGTTTCGGCGCTCTTTGGTTTTCAGCGCCCTTTCGGTTTTCGGCGCTGCTCTAGTTTTCGGCGCACTTTTGGCCGTCGGCACATCTTTGGTTATCGGCGCCCTGCTCGGAACCTTTTTGGTGTCCAGTGCCTCTTTGGTCGTGGGCGTTCTTTTGGGTTTCGGCACCTTTGGGTTGTCGGCGCCCCTTTGCTTTTCGGCGCTCTTTTGGAATTCGGCGCTGCTCTAGTTTTCGGCGCACTTTTGGTCGTCGGGTCGCCTGGTTCGTGGAGCTCCTTTAGTTTTCGGCGCCCTTTTGTTTTTTCGGCGCACCTTCGGTTTTCGGCGCCTTTTCGATGTTCGACGTTCCTTCGGTTTTCGGAGCGCCGTTGGTTTTCGCACCCTTTTGGTTTTCAGCGGCCCTGTGGTTTTCGGCTGTCTGTTGACTTTCGTTGCCCTTTTGATCTTCGCCACTCCTTCATTTAGCCAGGGGGGGGGGCTTCCAAGTACCCCCCCCTTTGGCCAAAAAAGGTGGAGAGGCGGGGGCTTCAGGCAGGGGAGGTTCAAGGGGAGCGGGGGGTACCTAAGCACCCGCCTCCCCGTGGAAAGAGGGGGAGAGGGGGGTAGCTTACAGAGCGCGAAAGGGAGGGGGGGGAGCTTCCGAGGGGCGGAAAAAAAGAGGGGGGAGGCTTCCAATAAGGGAGGTCCAAGAGGGAGGGGAGGGGGTAGCTAAGCCCCCCCCCCCCTGGAAGGGAGGGGGGGAGTAGCGAGCATCCGGAGCGCGAAGGGGGAGGGGGTAGATTTCGAGGGGGGGAAAGAAGGAGGGGGGGGGGGGGTGGGCGGGGTGGTGGGGGGGGTGGGCTGGGGGGGGCGGGGGGAGGGCGGGGGGTTGGGTGGATGCCCGGTGGTGCGGGGGGGGGTCGGGGGGGGGGGCGGGACCGAGGGGGGGGGGGGGACTTCTTTTTTTTTTTATTTTTTTTTTTTTTTCCCTATTCCTTTTTTTTTTTTTTTTTCTTGCTTTTTTTTTCTTTTTTTTTTTCCCTTTTTTTTTTTTTTTTTTATTTTATTTTCCTCCCCCCCCCCACCTCCATTTTTCCCCCCCATCCCTTCCTTCCTTCTCCCACCCCTCATCCCCCCCCTTCCCCCCACCCACTCCTCCCCCCCCTCCCGCCTTTCCAGCAGGGAAGATCCAAGTGGGGGGGTAGCCAAGGGGGGACCCACCCCGCTTGAGAGTGTACCACGGGCGCGCTTTCTCAAAAATATGTTGTTTGCGAGGTGACCAGGCGGGAGCTAACAGGTGACGGGCCCCAGACGGGATCTGCAAGCTGGCATTTCTCTATTTCTCTGCTTTTGTTTTCTCTCCCTCTCTCTCTCTCTCTCTCTCTCTCTCTCTCTCCCTCTCCCTCTGACACTGTGACACTACCTCAAGCGGCCGTGCAAGCACAGCAAGCGCGCGCCTTGGTCGGAAGAGAGCCCCAGCCTGGAACTCTGAGATCCTCTAGCTGTGCTTCTCCCGCTTCTCTCTCTCTCTCTCTCTCTCTCTCTATCCCTCTCTCCCCTCGCTCGTTTTGCCTAGCTCCCTCGCCCCTGGCGTTTTGACCCTAAGTGTGAGGCGAAGCGGACGCGCTGATTCATCAGGCATGTGAGATTGATG